TTAATAAGTGAACATGCATATAAATTAAAATTAAATCTAACACTTAAACCACTATCATACGTGCTGGTGTTCGTGTGTGCGTGTGTGTGCGTGTGCGTGTGCGGGTGCATGGGCGTATGCGTGTGCGTGTGCGTACCTACGTACCTATTGCTTTATTTGCCTAGAAGGAAAAATATTATATTAGAAACGATAGGAGTTTTTCTGTGTCATTGTAATTTAGACTCTGTAACCATTCAGTCACTTTCTTTTTACATACATATTTTGTTTTTGTATAAATGGAAACATTTTTGTTGACTTTGTTGTATAAATAACTACCCAGAAAACAGAAGAAGCGACAGGAAAATTTTTTAGTTATTTTATTTGTGTATCTGTCAGCAGGGACATGACGCCTGCTCTCTTTGAAGTTTTTGGGACAGATCTTGAGTTGCCCATGTTGTTTGAGGATTGTGTGTAATAAAAATAGTTGGCGAACCGTGAGTACTTTTGTTTTTTGGTATAACTCCGTGGTCGAAAAACTAAATGGTAAAAAATGTGATACTTTGAGAATTGCACGCTGGGTTCTTTCAAGTTCAAGAATTATGGTCTTGGGCGCACCACCCCAAGATGTGATACAGTAAGTGAGAAGAGATTGTGCAAGCGAATAATATATTTTTTTGCACAATTGCGCATCAACAACATGCCTTAATGTTTTGAAAATGTATACAAGTTTTCGGAGCCTGCCATTTAAGGTGTTGATATGGGACTTAAAACGTAAATTGTTATCCAACAGTATACCCAGATATTTAACATTGTCTGCTTTGTTAAGGTGAGCGCATGAACAGTTGGTATTTTGAGGTTCGGGGCAATAATATTGTATTCATTAGGAATTTGAGTGGTATTTTTTATTGTGAAAGTCATGTACTTAGTTTTTTCTGCATTGAGTGTAAGCATATTATTTCTTAATAAGGTCGAAACGGTGTTGAAACCAATTTGAGCATTGTTTAAGACGTCTGACCAGGTTTTACCATAGAACAATAGTACAGTGTCATCAGCAAATGTGATAATTTTGCCTTTAGGAAGAGAGAGCATACCTAGGTCATTAATGTAGATGAGAAAGAGTGTTGGGCCAAGTACACTTCCTTGAGGTACTCCGTAATTTAATTTCCTCTCCTCACTTGTATATTCACCTACCTTAACAAATTGTATTCGGTCACATAAATAGTTCTTAAACAACTCCAATTGAGTTCCTCTAATACCAATGTTCTCTAACTTCTTTAATAGTATAGGAGCAGAAACCGTGTCAAATGCTTTGGCAATATCTATAAAAATACCTAAAACTTTATTCCCTCAATCCATATTAGTGACGATGTAGTTTGTTAGGTCATGAACGGCATCTGCAGTTGATCTATCGGCCCTAAATCCGTACTGTGTTGGGGAAAGTAAATTGTTAGTTTCCAAAAAATTTACGAGTCTACTGTTTATAATTCGCTCTAGTATTTTGGAAAAAGCAGGTAAGACCGCAATAGGCCTATAGCTAGTAACACGATTTCTGTCTCCTCCCTTAAATATGGGATGCACAACTGATCTTTTAAAGACTGCTGGAAAGGAACCACTTGTCAAAGCCAGATTACACACATACGTTAGAGGAGGTACAATAAGATCTTTATGGATTTTGAGTAGATTTGACGAAATTTTGTCCCATCCTGCTGCTGAGTTACAACGTAAGCTTAAAATAAATCTCTCAACCTCTTTCTCATCTGTTGTAAGTAAGACCATAGTTTTAGTGTTAATGGTAGTGATTGTTGGAGCGTTAATGGTATTAGAGAGCAAGTTCTTTTCAGCGGTAAATTTCCCAATGCTTGTAAAGTAATCATTTATTAAATTAACAGATTGTTCAGGTGTGGGAGACAGATACAGTAAAGGCGTAAATGTGTCTTTCTTTTTCGCTCTTTTTCGCCTTTTTGTATAAGGTCAGTTAGTAACTCTGCAGCTAAGTTGGCGTCTTGAGTTTGATATACTTTGCTAAAATCTAGTTGAGTAATATCAATGTGTAGCTGGTTATAATCAATATGTACTACTGACTTAGCTGCCCTATTACGTGGGATATTATTACCTATAAATAGTAAAACAGTTTCATGATCTGTAAGGGCTGAGTGAGCAACTGCTGTTTTTGCCGGGTGGTTTGTTCTTAACATAATATGATCTAGGCAAGCGCTTTGTCGAGTGGGAAGAGTATGGGCTGGTAGGAATCCATGGGATGCCATCAAGTTTAGGTATTGATTTTTTTCAGAACTACAAGAATCTTCTGTAATGTTAATATTTATGTCGCCGGCAATTATAATTGTATTGTATTTTGTTAATGTCATTAGTGTTGAATTTAAAGAGTTGAGAAAGTTTGTTATGTCTTTGTAGCTAGGTGGTCGGTATAAAGCTAGCAATACGGTATTGGGATCAATTATTATTTTAAGGCAGTTTGCGTTATTGAAATTTGGTTCATCAACAACGGCATTATAGGAAGTCTTTATATATACAACTACTCCTTCATTTTGTGTATAGTTATAAATAGTTTTATAACAGTTGTAACCTGCTAAATCCTCAATATAGCAATTTCCTCGCAACCAACATTCATTCAATATTATGACGTCCATCTGACTAGTATAGTATGAAGACCAGCCATATTTTTTGTTATACTTCTAATGTTTTGATTAAGTATTTTTAGATAATTATGAGGATGTATATCAGATGGAATACAATTATTCAAATCGCAAGTATATGATTCAGACACAGATACAGTATCGATGTTATTTAATGTATTATTTATTGGAGTGAATGTAAGATAGAGTTTTCAGTTGGCATTTTACAGTTTACAGTTAGTAGGTATTTAAATAAACTAAGATTTGCAATTTTCAATTTAGAAGTTACGATGAAAAAATGAGAATTGTACAGAAATATTACGTACGTATAATCGATAAACACAGAAAAACTATTCCATGGTTTTGACTGCAGGGAAAATATAATATGTATGTAGGTATAATTTTTGTTTATGTATGTATGTGTGGAAGTCTTTGCACGTTTATAAACTAATAATGAATATAATGTTAATTGCTTAATATAACTTTGATAATTTTCAGCATGACTTATGTAGTTATTTAATTTTACTATAATAATTCTATAAATTAGTATAATAAGCTTTATAAGAAGAGTAGTTTTCATAGTATTAATGTTAATCAGAAGAGAATAACATATATTTGTATAATGTGTAAGCGAGGAACATTTTGTGTGCTTTACATATTTTTTTAACAATATGATTAAGATAGATATAGAACAGTTATACAAATTATTAGCATTATTATATGCCATGGATTTTAAAGAAGGATTGCTATTATTTATCATACTTAGTCTATTGTAGTTACAGATTATAGCATTATATATCAACAAGATCTTCAGAAAACTATATAGTCACGCGGCTATTTTTAATAAGTCTTTCTCATCTTTTATACGTGTGGCTGGTTGACTTTCTTCTTTTCTAACGTACACTTGACCATACGATGTCCAAGCTGCTACATATAAGCTGTTATAAATAACATTCAACGATGAATATTTGCAACGAGATGTCGCCATTGCTCCATAAAAAATTTTATGACTTCGGGAATGTCAATTGATTAATTTCGTCTGCAACGGAAATATTTCTAAAAGCATCTTCGCGAGTATAAGTATTTAAAGTTATAAAGAGCAACTGGAATTAAATACTACCCATCATGGACTACCCTCAGTAGGTATCAATATTAACGCGTCAGGAAACTTTGTTATAAGCTGTATTGTTTTATGCTGAGATTTTTAGGGCCATAATCAACTTGACAGTTCAGAAGTGGTTGCAATTTAATCATGCCAGCTGGCATTCAAGAATCCATCAATAAAATATTGCTCTCAAACATTTTAACAAAATACCCGACGCCATAGAATCTTTTCTATGCAAGCCTTTCAATTTCAAACTTTTCTTTATGCAAGTCCTTGGAAATTATTGGAGAAATTATTTAACAGACAAACCGCGAATTGAACCAAAGAGGGAATCGAAACTTATGGCGTTTTTTTTTTATTCGAAAAATATAAGTGGGTTTGAATTTTTTTTTTCACTTAGGGTAAACTCATCGACGTGTAGTGTTCAATAGGAAAGTCTCGATGGACATATGGATCTACTTTTCACTTCCTCATCCACCTTGTGGAAATAAAAGGGATTAGTTGTGCAAAATCAGCATCCAGTGGTATATTGCTGTATATAAATTAAATTAAGATTTATTGGGTAAAGAAACAAATAATTATTTATTTTTAATTTTATATGTGAATATTAAAATGAATTAATCGCTGATGCAAATGTCTAATATATGATTATATACTTTTCGTTATGTACATGAATGACAAGTATATAATCAAAGTGTTTAATATAAGTACCTGGAGGACCGAGCTTTTCTCGGTTTGTTTTTTTTTTTTGTAAATCGTGTATTTTGGAAATTACATTTACCTAGATACAAATTACTAAGTAATGAAATATGTATAATATTTTTCGATCTTACCGACCTAATAATAAGAAAATATGAAGTGGTGTTTGTCACAAAAGAAACAACTTTAAAAAAAAGGGAAAAAAATAACAAAATCATCTAAGAATAAAATCATATAAGAATCGAAAAAAAAAAAGTAAAAAAAGAGTGTGTAAATGATCGTGACACGAACCACGGCCGTCTGTTTTGGGGCCGCCCGATTACCGACCGAGCTATTATAACATTTTTTTTTGCGGCGAAATTTACCGTCATATTCGAATGATATTTTTCATTCCCTGAAAACAGGGATAAAAGGGCATTTTCTAAAAATGAAACCTAGCTAGATCGATTTTTCGCCCCCGAATCTACGCACATACTAAATTTCATGAAAATCGTTGGAGCCGTTTCCGAGATTATATCTATACAAGAATTGCTCGTTTAAAGGATAAGAGATAAGATATAAAAATTATAGTAATTTTCACTTTATTTTTTCTTTCTGCGCGAGGTCTTTTTGTCTTTATCTCTTGCGTCTTTTGAAGAACTTCGACGTTTGGTAGATTCTTTTTTATGTCTTGAACTCGAGCGTTTTCTTCTCGGCGAGCATTCTCTTTCTGGTGATGCTGACCATCGCCAAGAACGAGGCGATGTTCTTTTTTGTCTTGAAAGGTAAAAAGAAAACTTGGAGAAATTTATAATAGAATATTACACTCACGCAAACAAAAAAATGCTTTAAAATGTAATTAAAACTCTCTTTAGCGTCTCCGTACCAAACGAGTTACTCATTAAATATACATATACCATATATTCCATAGGTGATCATGCTAATACCGAACGAAAATTCCGCATAGGAACAGCGCACACGAAGTATGAGATGGTAAAATATTTCTACCTACTTTACCTATTTGTAGCTACTAAATCCTACAGTTTAGGCAGGGCGTTAAAGCATCAGTCAGTTTCTGCTATTTTACGAATGGGCAGGTTCATCTGGGGAAATAGCACGGATTCACAGAAAACCGGCGTGAATGGGAAGTATTTTACTACTGCATTTCAACTGATGTTGAAGCAATACAGACTGGCTTCTGTTACTAACGACAGCATTTCACAAATTTTTATTGGAAGTGAGAGCATGTAAATTTTGCTAAGGTACCTACTAATTAGAGAAGGGTGTGATGTGTTATTGAAAACTGTGCTCTTAAACATGCTGTAAATGTATATGAAAACCCAATTTAAAAACTTTTGATTGAATTATTAAGTATTTAAAATATTTGGATTTTGTAAGTATTTATTCTCTATCATTTCAAAAGATATTTCAATATTAACAAACCCCTATAAATTGTATAAACTTAAATAATTTCATACCTATCACCATATTCATTGTAGTCGGAGAATAAATCATTTGGATTCTTAAAAGCATGCAAGAAGTTGCAGGATCGACCTTTCGGACATCGTCTCTGAGGGTGTAAACCTGGAAACCAAAAATTTACAATTTCCATAAGTTTCTACCACTTTAAATATTCAGGTAACTGAACATGGACTTAGAATAATAAAATATAATTTTCATACCACATATAGCCCTCCTCCACAAATTTATTTCACAGAATTGCAATGATAATTGTCTTCCACCATACCATCGTGAGTGTAATGCCCTATATGCTGTAACAGCGCTTCGCAAATCGGAATATTCTACATATGTATTTCCTCGTAGATGTTTCTCGAAGTTGTAACACACCTGTGCAGATACTTAATAGCATCAGATTACTTAGGAATAAAAATGATTTAAGTGAGTTGGAATTTAAATATATTGTCAATAATAATAAATTAAAAAACTTATTAAATATTATATTTGAAGAAGTTATTTTATGATTTCATTAACTTTATTTTACTTTTTTATAGCGGTATGAATCATTAAATTTGATGAAGATTTGTGTATAGAGAAAAAATACCTTTAATAAATATTAATTCATTTTTCATCTTACTCACCTTGAATTGCACAACTTTACCAAATTTTTCAAACTCTGGAAGAACATCAAAAAAGAAATCCTTAAAGTCTTTGTATGTGTCATTTTCATCATATTCCAACATAATATCAGTGTCATATTCAGTAACATCAGAATTGTCTAGTCCAAAATGTAAATAAAAATTTGTGGCTAATAGTACCTAAAATAAATGATTTTATAAAATATAAAGTATCAAAAAAAATCGCCTAAGATGGTATGGACACATTAAAAGACGCAGCGAAGATCACGTCGTACGATTAGCCCTCAATCTGCCCGAATCAAAGAGAGGCAGGGGCCGCCCGCCAATGACTGGTCGTCCGGTATTGCAAGAGACCTAAAGAAAGCCCAATTGCCTGAAGCGACAACCCAAGACCGTTTGTCTTGGCGCAGGAAAGTGAGGAGACCCGACCCCAAATAGCGGGATCAGAGACGGAAGAAGAAGAAGATAAAGTACCAAAAAAAGTTAAAGTCACCAACAGGAACAGGATTTTTATTTCTCCTATTAGTTTAGCTTTGGTTTTTAAAGTGGTAGCAATAATGGTGAAATGTATATATGTATTTCTTTTTTTATGTGAATAGTTGTCAACCGAGCAGGCTGTTCACCTGATATTAAGTGATCATCGCCGCCCATGGACATCTACAGCGTGTCGTTACAACCGCGACTATAAATAAACACACATATACAGGATAACTTTTTAAAATTGTATTAAACATTTACATTCCTTAAACATCAATATTTACAGAGTTATTAAATTTTCCAAAACAAATAATTTTAGAACACCCTTACGTATAAAACTGTAACGTAAAGTTCATTTGTAAAAGTCACAAAGCATATAAATGGATAGAATGAATTTAAAAGAGACAAAACATACTGTGGAAACTGTGTCTGTGTAAACAGAAGGAGATGCTTGTAATGCGACGCTGTGGCGCGAGTTGTATAGGATGTTACAAATTTTGTTTCTTTTTTACAAAATATTTTTTTTAATTATGGATTTTGTTTAACGTTAATATTTTTTATGATTATTGGCAAGTAGCGTTAGACGTGTTTTCATTTATTGTCGCGATGGTAACGACACGCTGTATAACACCTGAAGGGGTCTAGATGTGTAGACAACAATTAAAATAAGTGTGACCTGGCTAACATTTCTACTTCGCCGTGGTACTTCCCGGACGAGCCTGCCTATTCATGCATTACATATATTTGTTTCAGCTAGAATTTCCTAAGGCTGTTTGATTAGTTTCATATGCAGTATAACTAACAAATGAGTTTAATTTTCATAGATTTTTATATACATTACTAGATACTCATAAAATTAATTTATATTATACCATTAACATACTTTACTTATAGCAGGATATCTATGGTTTCTTGAACACTGGTCTCCAAAACGACAGCATGCAGTTTTTGCAAAAAACGGACATAGCTCCATTTTTGGCTTTGTTTCTCTGACTACAAGCAATTCAGGTGGAGGATTTTCAGAATCACCATTTAAAAAATTTTCTAAATTTTCCATAAATATTTTTTGTCTTCTAATATTCTCCTCTTCAATTTCCTTTAACCTCTGTGCTTCTTCTTGTCTTTTTTTCTGTTCTAACTCCCATTCCTGTAATTGTTTAGGCACAATTGCACATATTTTACAATATTAGCTAGTATATAATGATAAACTGGGGGATCAAGTTAATACAAGTTACTATTCTGATTTTTAGGGTTCCATACCAAAAGTGTAAAGTGATAGGCTCCATTACTAAGACTCCACTGTGTGTCTTTCACCAGGCTGTATTTCATGAACCGTGATATTTAGACAGTTGAAATTTTCACAGATGATGTATTTCTGTTGCCACTAAAACAACAAATATTAAAATAAACAAAATAAAAAATATTTAAGTGGGGTTCCCATACAACACACATGATTGTTTTGCCATTTTTATAGATAATGGTGTGGAACCCTTCATTCATGATTCCCCAAAATTAAAGTATTTAATTTATTCTTGAATAAAAAAATCTACATCTACTGTTTATCTTAAACAAACAGCTCATGTAGAAGTTTTTTCTTGTATGAATAAAAAGTTAATCTTTACTTTAGAGAAAGAAAAAAGTGTATTTAATGAAAGTGTTTAAATATTAACAATATTAAATCTAACTAAATTACTCAACATCCAATGAATATGTATAAAAAAATCAATAACATGTTTTTATTACATTTTTAAGTAAAATTAAAAGATCAGTATCACTACATAGTATAAAACAAAGTCGTCCCACTGTCTGTATGTCCCTATGTATACTTAGATCTTTTAAACAACACAACAGATTTTTTTATTACATAGTTTTTTTACTAGATAGTGATTCAAGAAGAAGCTTTATATGTATAATACATTGCAGCGAGGATGGGTTGCTAGTACTTACTAATTTACGTTTAGCTTCCTCCTGCTGCTTTTTTATTTTTAAAATTGTGTTAGTAACCTCAAGTCGTTTTAACTTCTCCATGAACATTATTTCGGCCTTAATCCATTTATCATTCTCTTCCTTATTTGTAATTTCAATTTGCTCCATTTCGATTGTTTCCATTGCTTTTTCACTTATAAGCCAATTATTATATTCTTCTGCTGTCAAATTTGTAACAAGATCTTCCAAACATAATTGTTGTTAGTCATACACACAAGCAAATTTTTTAAAATAGATATTTAATAATAATGAATGGTTTTTATTTATTATTTACCTAGGTTTTTGGCATTTTCCGTGCGTATTCTTCTCCTGCGTTCTTTTTTTGCTACCTTTCGCCATTCTTTATGTCTACAAGTAGAGAAATAAGGAAATATTAATATGATCATAAAATATGTGAAAATAAAAAAACAACATTAGCACTTGCCTTCCCATGGTAGAAATAACTTGCATCTGTAGTTTTATAAAATTAGAATTATATAATAATATGACTCAACAATGATTTGAGGACTTTGTAATGTAAATTGTTAATTTAGTTTGTCATAATTATGTACCATGGTATGGAAAGTTATTGAATATAACTTTCCGTGTATCTGTTATTGTATGCTCATTGGCTTCTTAAATTAGATCAATACGAAGTGATTATACACTTTGATTTCTTTTCTAATTTCTTTCTTTCTAATATATCCAATATTTACAACATTAAATCTATGTAAATTGCATATTATCGAATAATCCTAGTTCATGCCGGCAATTTGCCAAAAACGCTAGCTGTAGCTAGTAGCTACATTTCCTCTATAGGTAGTTTTACATGGCTTACAGCGTGACCAGATTTAGTAGATTTCTACTTTTTTGGTAGATTTTGAGGTACTGGCGACAGAATTTAGTATGTAAAAATTATTTCGTATATTTTAGTAGAATTCACGCTTATCAGTTATTATAATACTTTTTTGGCTTACCGGATAAATGCGGGGTATTCCTCCTTTCATAGAATGGATTGTTACTATTTAAATTTCATTCTGTTGGTCGTTTGATTCGTGCCGTGAGCATAGTGTGATAGACTAGTCGGAATTCCTTTATTTAGAATTTTCATAATCGAGTTTTAAATTAAACTTAAATATACACAAGGATATCGCGATGAATGAGAGCAATATCCCCCATTTAAAAGCTGGTTATGTAAATCTAAGGTAAACACTACGAGTGCTCATTGTAAAACATGCAACTGTGAAGTACTAAGTAGATTGGCGTCGTTGAAGGAACACATGGCTACATCAAAGCATATCAAAAATATGAAAGGATATTCCGGCATTTCTGAGGTATGCAAGTTACTAACGTTAATATGTGGAATGTAATTCTTAGTTAATTATTCTTGTTAAGACTTTTTTTACTTGACTTTTTTAATACTTTCGACTTATGCAGTAGTGTGAACCTGTATTATGTTAAAAAAAACATTCATTGTCAACTGCTAGTTATATGTCTGAAGTTTTTGGTGGATACATTTTGTAGTGATGTCAGCCAAATCTGTGATGTTAATAGCAAACCAAAGTATGGCAATTTGTTCCGATTTGTGAAGCAAATGACGATACTACCTTTGGCATTAATATACTACTTTTGGTATTAATATACAATTAATTACTACCGCAATTGTCTTCATTATATTGACCAGTTCAAAAACGTATCCTGTACTAAAGCATTTTTGTGTTAAGAACATGGGAAAATATGTTAAATATTAAAGGGATAAATGTACGTCTCCAACAGACCAAGCCAAGCTTAAGCCATTACTAGTACCATAGCACTAGCAGTTGCATCAGCTACGACTGATGACGTTGACGGCGAATCTTGTTGGCGCCTTATTATTGCTGGCAGATGAAGCAGATTCTAAATAATAATTAATAACGTAATGTAAGTTTAACGCCACCAAATTCGCTTTTATTGTTTTTATAGTACGCGGAAGTGAATAAGTTAATTTCCATTACGCTTTATACGGAGGAGCACACCGAAATGATCGGGAATAAGAAAAACCACATGCACGGTATAACTAAATTGTATTTTATTGTTTTTCGAAGTTTTCTCCGTTCAACTTAATGCACTTATCCATTCGTGCAAAGTTGCAAACCAATCATTAAAACAGTAATTCCAGTCTGAAGTTGATGTGGTAAAGGTCTAGATTGGGCTCAGGTCAGGACTGTACGAAGGATGGCTCATCAGCTCAACGTTTTCCTGCTTCAAAAAATCATTTGTCTTCCCAGCCGTACGAGAGCTCGCATTATCGTGGTGTAAGATGATGCGACGTTTTGAGTAATTTTTCGGAATGTGGCTATCATTTCTGGCAAACACCGTGATATAAAGCGGTACACCTAAGCGGTAACAGTTCTGCATTCCTGTAAAGTAATTGTAGCAGCATGCCCCTTTGAGAGACAATGTAGCGACCATTTTCTTTGACACGCTACGGGAGCGAACTTTCGTTTGTTTGACTTCGTCTTCGACGACCCAAACTGCTGACTGGTGTTTTCTTTCAGATTCGCATGAATAAATCCATGATTCGTCACCTGAGACGATATTATAAACGGCATTTGACTGCCCTCAGTTGAAGCGTTGCAGAGTATTGCAGCGTCAATATACACGAGCCGCCTTTTGCTCTTCGCCTTTGCCTGGAGGAGGTTTCATCGTTCGATATTCGTTAAATCATTTATTTTGGAAATAAAAATAGTAATAAATAAATAAAATGATCTGGTATAATAAAAAGGTAAAAAAAATAAGTGTATAAATGTTCGTGACACGAACCACGGCCGTCTGTTTTGGGGCCGCCCGATTACCGACCGAGCTATTATAACCTTTTTTTTGTGGCGGCGAAATTTACTGTCATATTCGAATGATATTTTTCATTCCCTGAAAACAGGGATAGAAGGACATTTTCTAAAAATGAAACCTAGCTAAATCGATTTTTCGCCCCCGAATCTACGCACATACTAAATTTCATGAAAATCGCTGGAGCCGTTTCAGAGATTCCGATTATATACAGTCAAACCTGGATAAGCGAGAGTTCAAGGGAGCACAATTTCATTCTCGCTTATAGAGGTTTCTCACTAACCCGAGTTTCTCGCTAATGCAGGTACATGGGTAGCATTTCTCTCTTATAGAGGTACGCAGCAATAACAAGTCACAGCAAGTACAAATGTAGTAAATACATATGTGATATGATAAAATTATGTGCATAATATGCACAACATATGTTAAATTTCGACATATAAGTACCTTATAAGGGTAGGTATCAAGATGCTTACGAAAACAAAACAAAAATTCATGCACTATGTAATTTTAATTTATTATAACTTATTTACACTTAAAAAAATCCGTCAATTTCGTTTGGGTTTCTGTTTTAGTATTTTGAATGTTTTTCTCTAGCTCATAAATTTTATCGAATATTGCTTGATCAACAACCGCCGCGTATTCAAAGTACTGATGGACCGTCTCCAACGCATTTAAAGCTAGCTTCATTGGAATGATCTTTATTTCTGTGCCTCGTCTTCACTGTCATTTCCAGAAATACAGGTGTTCACACAATTATTAACGATATCGTCGTCGGTTTGTTCTCCAGCGGTAGTTACGTCGTCGTCAATTTGAACGAAATCTTTGAAGCTCGGCATTAACATATTGGATTCGTGAGACACAAGCTTAGTCCATTCCTCGTTGCTAGGTCCAACTTCAACATCATTTTCCTCTGGCAGGTCTTGCTCATCTGTACTTTTCCAAAACCCAGCTTTCTTGAAACAGTTTTTGACAGTAACGTCACTGACTAAGTACCATGCTTTTCTAGCAAATTTCATAGCTAGAAGTACGTTAATGTCAGGGCTACTGTATTCTTCCAGACTCGTAAGAATATGTTTAACGACTTCTCTGCGATAAAAGCGTTTAAAAGTGTGAATGATGCCTTGATCTAATGGTTGAAGTTTACTAGTGGTGTTAGCAGGTAAAAACATTACTTTTACGTTTGCAAGTGTTGGTAAGTCCGTATGGGCAGCACAGTTGTCAATGAATAGCAGAATTTTTTTTCGGTTTATCTTCATTTGTTTGTCAACTTTTTTCAACCAATCTTTAAATAAGATCTTGGTCATACAAGCCTTTGTATTATTGGCATAATCAACAGGTAGAGTCTTAACACCTTTAAAACATCTAGGTCGCTTTGATTTCCCGATGATGAGAAGTGGGAGTTTGTCCGTACCACTCATGTTTACACACTGGAGAGGTGTGAGGCGTTCCTTGCTTTGTTTTCCTCCATGGCATTTTTCGCCTTTAAACGTAAATGTTTTATCCGGAAGGCACTTGAAAAACAAAGCAGTTTCATCCGCGTTGTAAATATCGTCTGGTTCATACCCTTCTAAAAGATTTGGCGAAAAGTTCTGGATTCTCAGTTTTGTAGCAAACTCTTTTGATTTTTCTTTCAACAAAGGTCCATCTATGGGAATGTTCTTATCGAGAGTTTGTTTTATCCATTCCAAAAGGCACTTTTCGATATTGGGAAATTCAGAAACTCTAGTCCTCTTAATATTTCCATGTCCATCAGAGCACTCAGACTTTATAGAGTCTTTTGATTTTACAATTTTATAATAGGTGGATTCTGGTAAACTCCCTCTGAATTTCATTTCGCGATTTTCCGGATTCAAACGCATTCACTATTGTAAGTTTATCACTTAATGACAGTACTTTAATTTTCCGTTTTGACATGATGCAGAACAGAACTTTCCTTCGCACAGTCGAAAAGAATGCGATAAAATAACAACGTTATTTAGTTCCACGAAATAGAATAGGTACAATATTGACGAGAAAACAATGCAAAAACAATGGTAGGAAGTTCCACGAAAGTTAAGAATGAGTCATAAAATAGCAGATGTTAAATTTGTAATTTGTTTTGTCATTTGTTACTGTATGTGCGTATCTTTTTTTTTATTGTAACTATAGTTCCTCCTAAATAATATAAATAAATAAAGCTCGACTGTCACTTATAGAGGTATAGATAAGTCGCAGTCTCACTTACGGAGGTCCATGAGGGAAAAACGACTCTCTCTTACAGAGGTTTCTGTTTCTCGCTAATAGAGGTTTTGGGAGCTTAAAATGATGGGTCCTGGCTATTACTCTCACTTATAGAGTTTTCTCACTTATCCAGTTCTCACTTACCCAGGTTTGACTGTATATAATAATTCTTAATATTAAGTTAATAAATAAACGAGCAATTCTTGTATAAGTGTATATATATATATACAAGAATTCCTCGTTTCAAGGATAAGATATCACTTCATTGCATCCTAGGTTACTTAAAACCTAAGAAAGATTCATTGTATTCCCCAATACTAATCATAAACCAATAGAGTGGCCATAATTCTTTATTAATATCACAGAGCTAAGGAAGGCTATGATTTTTATTAAAAGATTATGGGAATTGGTGGTTTGTCTAA